GGGAACAAGGGATGATGGGGTTGGTGTTGAAAATGGTGTGGTGGGTATTGATGTTGAAAAATGAGATGATGGGTGTTGATGTTTGAAAAATGGTGTTTACACCGGTAACTGCTTTAATTCTACCTCGGGTGCCTGCAAAACAGAAGGTAAAATTTTAGTTTTAGAGGAAGATAAAAATAAATCAGGATTGATTGAATAAATATTTTCAAACTCTATTTTTTCCTTTTTGTGGCAAAGTTCAAGATCCCTGGAAAGATTATAAGAAAAAATATATTCAATATATTCATCAATTAAAGGATCTAAAATATCAATAGAATTAATTCTTTCAACTCGATCTGGGTATTTCATTGCTTTGTAAACATCAAATTCAACGATCTCACCATCAAATTCCATTGCCAGTATACCACTTCTAACATTGATCTTTATATGTACGGTGCTTAGGAAGAGTTTTCCTAAGAGTACTTCGGAATAAGTATCCGACCTATCATGTTTCATTTCAATGATATAGAAATCTGTAGGAAAAAGTAATACATCGACATTCACTAAGACAGTTTCCATCATTCCCACTGGATAGATCACGGAGCGATGAACCAATTGTATGGTTACTCTCGTTTCCTTCAAAGGCTCATTAATAATCATTTTATAAATAGAAAATGGGATAACGTTAATTGAAGCTCATAAGTCACACATTGCACGTTTAATTTTAAAATTACCTATTTTACAAGGTATGGTGAACATCTTTGATCCTTCATCTTTGGTGTGAGCTTTCGTTGAAAAATACATAAACATGTTCTCTCAAATTTTCCTTTTCGTTCCCCATTAATTTTCTCTTTGTAGTGCAAAGCTCTTTTAAAAACTGAGCATACCTCGGTACTTGTCGAATTACTTCAAGAAGAGGTATGTTAACTTGAACTTTTCGGAATACCTCTAAGATTTATCTTTCTTCAGCTCTTTTATCACACTTGAACAATATTGATGGGAAGGGTGGTGCGATTTCATGAGAATAATGAGGACGATGTGCGTTATATGTACCTTGTATTTTTGGAGGTGGTGTTTCTTATTGTTCTTCCTGATGTGCGGCTTTTCTTCTGGAGCTTCGGGTGAGATGACTATTCCACTTTGGAGTGTGATGGCACTAACATTCTCTTTCGGATTTAACTCTGTTTGAGAAGGTAGTCTTCCTTGTGATTTTAATTTCCCCACAATTTGAGCCAGTCATCTTACTTTTTTATCATACTCTTGAAAATGTGTTTCGGTTCGGCTTCGGAATTTTTCATGGGATGCAACTAGCTTTTCCTGGGATGTAACCAGCTTTTCTTATGAAATTATTAACATTTCTATGATTTCCTCCAATGATGGCTTTTGTATTTGTTGTTGAGGATGAGGTCTTGGTTAATAAACTGGCATTTGATTCGACGTATAGCTGAAATTTGGGTGGTCTCGCCATCCCAGATTATAAGTATTGTTTTATGGGTTGTATGATCTCTGTGGAGGACCTGGAAAGTTTCATACGACATTGATTTATGTATTGCTTCATTCTTGTATCATTGAGCAGCAATTCGTTGGATGGTCCAGCTTCGTGCATATCCTGTATGCTCTTATTACCCAGATTTTCTTGTAACAAGTGAATTAACTACTTCAATTAATTTATCTAATTTATTTTCAATGGAAAATGTACTTATCTCGTGAACTCGTCGGTTGGGTTCACTTGAAAACTGTTGAGAGTTGGCGGCTATGGTTGAAATAAACTCTCACGCTGTTGTTGGGGTCATCTTGACTAATTATCCTCCGCTAGCGACATCTACCATTTTCATTTACATAGGTAAAAAACTTTCATAAAAGTATTGAAGTAACGTTTTTTCACTTAATCCGTGTTGCGGACAACTTGCGCAAAGCTTTTTAAATCGTTCCTAACAGTCATAAAGATTTTATTCAATCTTTTGCTTAATGGAGAGAATGCTCCTTCGTAACTCGCTTGTTTTAGCCGCTGGGAAGAACCTGTCAAGAAAAAATCGACTCATGTCAGCCCACGAATTAACTGAATTTGGAGGTAAATAAAATAACAAATCTTTAGCCAAGCCGGCTAAAGAGAAAGAGAAAGCTCTCAATTTAATTTGATATTCGGTAACTCCCTGTGGTTCCATGCTAGTGTAAACCATATGGATTTCCAATAAGTGTTTGTGCGGATTTTCATTGGGAAGGTTGTAGAAAGTGGAAGGAAGATGAATAAGTCTCGTCTTTAACTGAAATGGAGTCCCGCCATTAGGAAAAATGATGCATAATGGCGTTTGAGTAACATGAGCTGCAGCTAGCTCTCAGATCATTTGTTCTTCTTTTGCCATCGGGATTTGATCTTCATTATATGCGTCTGTTTCAGAGTTTGTCTTCGGATTTGATTTTGTTTCTGAACTATGCTCTTCTTGTCTTATTCTTTTTTCTCGAAGCATTTGTGTGTGGATTCTTCGTGCTAGTGCTTCGATCTCCGGGTCAAGATCTACTAATTCTCCTGGTTTCTTCTGGTCATAAATCAAAAACAAAGAAAAATAAACATGTACTTGCCGTTAGTCCCCGCAACGGTGCCAATTTGACACGTGTTGTTTCACATCAAACAATTCCTTATTCCCAAAAGAAATATAAAGAAATATAGTAAGTGGAAAGTAAGGGTCGATCCCAGAGACTATGCAGTTTTTGATTTAATTATCTTTTGTTTTTGAATAGTAGAGTTTGGATATGAATGAAATTCAAGATTAAAAATAAATAAAAATAAAATTATAAAAATAAAGGTGAGATAAGAATAAGATAAAATAGGGGATTTGAAAGACTGTTTGAAAATAAGATAAGACAAATAATATAATAATAATAAATAGAATAAAATAGTAATTTGAATTTGAAAATAAGACTTATTGTGAAAAGTAGCCTCAGGCTTTCAGCTTTGACTCAGTTTCCTCGGATCATCGAAATAGATCTTTACTTCAGGATTCACGCCGGTTACTTGTATACAAGGATAAATCCTTGTGAATATGATTTGTATACCAAATACCCAAGTGCAATATTTAATATCGGTTTATGAATTGATCTAAGCAACAACAATGTTGTAGATCTAAAAACGTTTAGGCTCGAAAAGTTGTCAACTCGAATTATGTTGTTCCACGAATAACTGATTTCAATCTCAGTTTCCTCTTAGAAAACAATTTTGATAAGTGCGTTCCCATAAAGTCAAATGTTCTTCAATAAGTCGATCCTTCCTCCCACGTTAACCATAAAAACATCCAGACCAACGTCGACTTTTGGTTTTGAAAATTGTTTTGATTTGAAAATAAACCCAGGAAACAAAGAGAGATATCTGAAGCGATTTAAGTGTCTTACAATTCTCACATTTGAAATTGAGCCATCGATTTAGCCTTCAGCTTTAAAGAAAATTAGCTAAGCATGAAAAAGGTCATACTTAGCATATTTGAAAAACTTAAAATAAAATAAAAAATGAGAACTTGAAAAAGAAAAGAAAATAGAGAATTTTATAAAACTAGAAAGAAGAAGAATAAATTATGAGTTGTTGAGAGATGTGTTTTAGGCTTGCCCTGATAGAGTGTTTATAGCCTTCAAAATCCTAAAAACAAGTTAAAGATAATTCTTAAAATAAAGAAATAAATCCTAATTAAAATACTTAAAACTATTTAAACTAAAATACTAAAAACAAAGATAAGATAAAATATAACATTTAAAATAATATCATAAAACAAGAGTTTAATTTAAATCCAAATTGCAAAAACGTGCGGCTGATCCATTCGTTCTTCTAGAAGTACTGACTGGACCTTCTAGAGAGTGTTGACATCATCGCCTCGTAATATGCGTCATTCCCAAAGTCATGCCCACTAATCCAGCTTTGATTCTAAAATAAAATAAAAACTGCAGAATTCTGTCATTTTAGTATAATTTCTAAAATCTAGTGTTCTGCACAAAAAATGAATCAAAACGAATAAATAAACCACAAAAACCAACGATTAAGGAGCAATTTAAAAGTAAAATATTAACCAAATAAAGCACTTATCAACTTTATATGAGATCGATATCGTAAGAATAATATCGATATCAGAACCCATAAATAATCGATTTGAGCTCAAAATCATATCTAAAACCCTTTTACACATTTATTTTGAAGTCCTACGTTATTCTTAAAGTTTATGTGGTGATATATAGTCATTTAACACCATCTTTAGACATGTTTTACAACGCATTCATCAAATTGATTAATAATTATATTTAGCATTCAAAAACATACAACATACATTATATCCACAAGTAAGACATCATATTTATGAAATTTAATAATCATTTTAAAGTTTAAAATATCCTACCTTAACTCAGTGTTGAGTTTGTGGTTAAACTTAAGATAATCTATACATTTCATTTTTACTTTCATTAATTTCCATAAATAAGGTAAAACATGTCAAAACAAAGACAATTAATGGTTTTGTTCTAGCGGCTAATACTTTAGCCAATCACCTTGTATCTTAGGTTTGATTTCCTTCTCTCATTTCTTGTTTCATTTGTTTTTTATCGACTAGATTGAGATACGTATTATCATCTTATTGGATAATTACATTATTTTAGATTAATAAAATAAAAATTAAGAGAAAAGTCTTCCACTCGTATTATGGCATATGTAACTAATTGGTGGATTAAATTTATTAAATTAAAATTAAGACTACATTGATAGAATGTATAAATAATAAAGATAAAAAAATATAATTGTACAAATTTCCTTAACTGTTACAACATCATTTACATTAAATGTTAATGATTGGTGACTTGATTAATAGCATTTCAATAGTTTAATGGTCAAATTGAAAAGAGTTTTAGTTCAACTGTCAAAATAGAATCGAGCCCATAATTTAATAACAATTTAGATAATTTACCCAAGTTTTTAATATAGGGATGACCCTAAGACAGCACTCTTTTTAGTCTTTATAAACGAAGAACTGCAGAAGTGAATGTAGGATAGATTTTAAGAAAGAATGGGCAACGAATTCGTTTCTTGCAGCCTTGTCCTTGTGCTTTTGATCACGGTAATTCATCTCCAGATAAACTCTTTATCTTTGATTCATTTTTGCTGTTGATCACGGTAATTCATTTATTTAATAAATTTTTTGTCATTGTTATTATACTCGTTAAAAACCTCCCTAATCTTAATTAGACGATTATTGATTCTAATTTTTTGCAGCTTGCTCCCGGAAATGTAGCAGGAAGTCATGGTAATGTTCTGCGACTCCCCACCATGGATGGAAAAGAAGAAGCCGGCGAATCCGCACCGTCAAACTCCGGCATGAGTATGGGGATGATGATGCGGATGGGAAGGGAGGAGGTGGGGAAGGACCCTGGCTTTAAGGTCTTCTTCTTGATGAAAGATGTCCAAGTTGGGAAAACAATCCCCGTCAACTTTCCTCACTTAAAAGAAACAGACCCTTCACGCACTTTGCCCAGAAAAACTCCGACTTCCCTTCCTTTCTCATTAAAGGCACTTCCTTTCCTCCTCCGCTTCTTCTCTATCCCCCCTGCTTCCCCACAAGCTTTAGGAATCGAAAAAACACTTACCGCTTGCGAGACTGAACGACCGGGAGAGTACAAAGCATGTATTACTTCAGTCGATTCCCTCATCGATTTCGTCGGCGGCTACTTCGGATCAGACGTCCGATTCGAAATCCTCAAAACTTCTGCAAGTTCAAACTCAAGTCCACTTATCCAAAACTACACTGTTTTTGAACTGAAAGAGAAAACATCTGCAAAATCACTACCGTGCCATAACTTACCGTATCCTTATCCGGTGTTCTATTGCCATATACTGATAGACACGACCAACAGAATGTTCAAGGTAATCCTGAGGGGTGAAAATGGCGATTTGGTGGATGCGGTTTTAGTTTGTCACATGGATACCACTAAATGGAATCGTAATTATTTCGCTTTTCGTCAACTTGGGGTTGAGCGAGGAACCACCGAAGCTTGCCACTTCTTCCCCGCTTACGATCTCGCTGTTGTACTTGTTCCCAAGTAGAACAAACTGATAATAGTAAAATTATGTGAGATGCATGGGAATCAAATCAAAACAAGAACTACTTCACCTGTGAGTTAATCTCTTCTTAGTTAATCAATAATTGAAGAGAAATTTGGATGATCATTTCTCTTATTAATTAAACAGTCCTTCAGAAATACTTGTAAGATTTAATCTATTCAATAGTTTTATAAATTAAAGAGATCTAACACTTAATTAACTAGCACACACTAATGCTTAGATTACTTGACTTCATAAAATAATAGTTCACTAAGTGTTTCTACCATGAGTACTCAAACTAAAGTCTAAGATGCTTAGGTTACTCAGACTCGTAAGCCCAACATATTCATTAAATGTGATATACTGAAACTTGTAACATAATAAATGTATCAAATCACTGTCCGAATGCATGTGATTCCTCATGAATTTTAAAGACCCTCATAAGATGCAAGTAAAATCCAGTTTACAATTACATGTGACAAGCAGTGAGAGTACGTGGATTGCATGCAGGGACAAAGAGCTGGGATTTGGGAGGAAGATAAATCGGAATGGAAATTGCATATAAAATATTACTCGATCATTAATTGATTTTTTTAATGCATATCTGAACCATAAATAATTGAAACGATAGACAACGGGCAAATTTATTAAAATACCATCTTTTTATTTTATTTTATTAAAATAATATTAAAAGTTATTTTAAAAATAACACTCATTTCTATTGCATAGGATGAAGGCGTAACGTCTTCCAAAAGGTTTTTCCTCAAAGAAGAGCATTTGCTTATATGGTAGGTCACATGAGTTGTTTCCAAATGTTAATGTCATTATGAGTCTATCATGTAAGAAAAACGCTTCTTTAAGAAAGAACATTTCAAAAGGTGATGTCACATAGAAATAACTTTTAAGAATTATAAATTATAAATAGATATTATTTAAGAATTATAAATTTTTAAGTGCTATTTTAGAGAAAATAAAATTAAAGATATTATTTAGTAATTTAGTTTCGATAACGAATACGTAAAATAAATTAATGATATGAATATTGAAATATAACTTTTCAAATTTCGGGAATCAAATAAGATAAAATAAAAATAAAAGATAACTTTTAAACGATTTACCCTTATTATTTTTTCTGCAATAATGAGTATGGGAATTGCATGTGATCTAAGAGATGGGGATTTGGGGAAGATAAATTTTAGGGTAAACAGTGACAGTAAGTGATTGTGACTGAGAGACAGTATGCGATTGCATGCCGGACTAGAGATGTGATTGTGGCTGAGAGACAGTATAGGATTGCATGTCGGGATCAGAGATGTGATTGTAAATGATAGACGGTGTGGGATTGCATGCCGGGACTATAGATTGGGATTTTCGGAGGCATTATAACTCTCTTCCTTTAAGAAGAACCATCTTTGAATTTATTTAAGAGAAAATCGCCTAAGTGAACTTTTTTTGGATTTGCCAAAATGACCAACAAAATCGCACGCGAAATAAAAATCGCAACGCGATCCCCAGAATCGCAAATCAGTTTCCAAAATCGCAACGCGATTCTTGACAATCGCAATGCGATTTTCATATTCGCATCCGTATATCGCAACGCGTATCGCAATAAATCGCAACGCGATCCGTATCGCAACGCGTAAAGCGCCAATCGCAACGCGATTCGCTACGCGTATTTTTATTTTCGCTACGCGTATTTTATTTTCAAATTACAAAAACGAATATAAGACAAAATCCCGTAATCGCAACTCATAACCTAAAACCTAAAATCAAAACTCAGTCCCATCTCCATCTCTCACTCTCTACGGCGAAATCCGTCCCCATCTCGAAGATTTCCGTCCCCATCTCCGGCGAAATCCCTCACAACCATTCACGGTCAGAAATCCCTCACAATATCAGAAATGGAAAATCAACCTCGAGGGTTAGTTTTTTAATTATTTTTATTTTGAAATTTTGCATTATTGTAGGTTTTTCATATTGAAACTGATGATAAGTTTACTGGTCATTTCAATAATAGATTAACCATTTCACTTAGATTTCATTTCGCGTTACGATTCTCTCGTTGCGATTTTCATTTCGCGTTGCTATTCTCTCGTTGCGATTTTAAGTAGTATTTGTCTTTGTCTTTGTTCTGTCTTTTGGTTGAAGTAATGCAATCCATTCAAGTTTCAATTTGCAGAAGAGTCGCAACGAGATAAATGAAAATCGCAACGTGAAAATGACTATATGCAACGAGAAAAAAAAATCGCAATGAGAGAATCGCAACGCGAAATGAAATCGCAACGAGAGAATCGCACGCGAAACCAAAATCGCATTGCGATTTTCATTTCGCGTTGCGATTTTCATTTCGCGTTGCGATTCTCTCGTTGCGATTTTCATTTCTCTCGTTGCGACAGTCATTCTCTCGTTGCGATTTTCATTTCAACCAAAAGACAAAACAGTGTTGCAAATTTTAGTTTCAAGAATAAACTATTTGAAGAGGTCACTGTCATCATTGAAGAGGTCCCTCCCACCATTCAAGAGCCCGATTCACATGGCGTCATATGTAGGCTTCTTGAGAAACCCTCTGACGTGCCGGACATGATGGATTCAAGTTGGCTCTCGTATGAGTTACCGGCCAGTACCATACCGGTATCTGAAGAGGAGAGGAAACAACTACCGGACACAATTCTGGATAACACCCTTTGGGCTAAGACCGCAGTTGATTTTTATCTACATGAGCGGAGCCAGGGGTGTTTCACTGACATATGCAAGCTCACCGATGATATCTATTTGTTGCTTGATCGGTCTTGGTGGGGCGTATTATTAGGGGTCGAAGACAATGGCTATTTCGATGGGGGGTAAGTCTTATATTTTTCTTATATTTCAATTTGATTAATTTTTTTTTTAAATTTATGTAAGTCACTAATATATGTCTTTTTTTGTAAAACAGCATATCGATGCGTGGGTGACACGTCTTCTAATAATAAGAAAACTTAAGAAAAATAAAAATATACGATATACAATTATGCCGACTTCTTTTAACGCCGTTCACTTGAAGAATGCACGAGATGAATCATTTGATTTGGGCAATGGACAAGCTAAACTTTATCCTGCATGGTGGGAGGTCGATAAGGTTAGTATTTTTTTAGATTGAGTTTAAAGGTTTTATGAAATAAGTGCGCAAATGAATGAATTATTACTTATGATTGCAGGTGTTTATCCCTGTTTTGGAATGTAAACATTGGATTCTCGTCGAGCTTCAGCTCCCATCCCTTAAGACAATAGTGTATGACAGCATGATAAATTACATATCATTGGCTGATTTAAGAGAGATTATTAAGGGATGGAGCTCTCATTTGGCTAAATTCTTGGATGCGATCAATTATTGACTCGTTCTGGAAACAAGAAGCCAAAGAAGCTCAATATTATAGTTATTAGAGACGAGACCGCGCCACAACAAACGGGAGGAGCCAGAGGAGATTGTGGTCCTCTCGTATGCTTGGCGTTGGAGCGTTTGACGACGGGAAGCACCAAGTATCTACCTCCCACCGATAGAGATAGAGCTGCAGTAGGCTTGTGGTTTCGGTATTATATGGCTAAATCGATATATACGAGACGCTGCCTACCTGCATCCGCGTTATAAAATGTCCATAAACAATTGGTAAGTTTATAGACTTTTGGTTTGAAAATGTTTGGTTAAGTACCTAGAATAGAATAATTTGCTGTTTGTAGGTTTTAAATGTGTAGAAAGTGTTGTTTGAGCAAATGTTTGGTTTCTGCAGGTTAATCTCAGAAGTGAACTGCGTGAAAATGATGTATGGCTGCAAAAGTTGATTCAATAGTTTAATTGATTGTTTTTGATTGTTTAATTGATTTGTAAAAGTTGATTCAATAGTAGATGATTGGAAATAAGAATTATTGCTTATTTTTTGATTGTTTAATTGATTTGTAAAAGATGATTTGTAAAAGTTGATTTGTGTAATTGATGCGAACATAATTCTTATTTGTGCTTGTTTAATTGATTGAAATGTAATGGTTGATTTTGTTGATTTCAATCTGCATTATGTTGAAATGAAAATCGCAATGCGAAATGAAAATCGCAACGAGAGAATCGCAATGCGAAATGAAAATCGCAATGCGGAAATGAAAATCGCAACGAGAGAATCGCAATGCGAAATGAAAATCGCAATGCGGAAATGAAAATCGCAACGAGAGAATCGCAATGCGATTTCATTTCGCATTGCGATTTTCATTTCCGCATTGCGATTCTCTCGTTGCGATTTTCATTTCGCATTGCGATTTTCATTTCGCATTGCGATTCTCTCGTTGCGATTTTCATTTCGCATTGCGATTTTCATTTCGCATTGTGATTCTCTCGTTGCGATTTTCATTTCGCATTGCGATTTTCATTTCGCATTGCGATTTTCATTTCCGCATTGCGATTTTCTTGTTGGGATTTTCATTTCGCATTGCGATTCTCTCGTTGCGATTGTAATTTCCGTGTTGCGATAGTCAAATGCATGCCTAATAAGTGATAACAACTGAATAACAAGAGTTGGTTAAGTCAAAATGGTTGGCCTGAGTCAATACGAAAACCGGAATTTGGTGCTGAAAGTTGATTGGGATTTGGATTAGAGAAAGGTTGTGGGTTTTGAGAAAAACTTAGTTGATTACTACCCGCTACTGACCCAACAATACTACTTCTAGGTTCAACAACATACAATGTAACATCATCTTGTGAAACACTAATGTAAGCAATGAATCGTTCAACATCTTCATTGTCGGTTAACAAATAAACTTTACAATTTCTGATAAGATAGCCTAAATCCACTTAGGGGCTCTAAATTCAATTTATTTGAAACACGTAGCATTAGAGTTTCATAAGTTAACTTTTGTAAAGACAATTTTAGTTGAAGATTCATGGGTAAAGGCATATATTGTAAAACACCATGAACATTATCCAATGACCCTCCAAAACACAAATCTATCCAAACATGATCAACATTAGATGATTTCATGGTTGTAAATTAATTTACTAAA